AAATTCAAATGCTAGGCCATAGCGGTTGATCATTCAACAGAGAAACCAGAAACTTTATTTGCAAAAGAAGCTGACCTGATCAGATTTGGCTTACTGGAGCCACGTAGACCTGCTTTCCACAGCAACGTCCGCTGACCGTTGTTGTCGTTGAATTGCTTCGCTAACCGTTGACTTTCGCCCAAGGCATCGCACAGACTGAAGAAATATCGATCAGAAGCAGATTTTAAGAGCAAGGAGCCCACCTAATCTTAAGGACTTCACCTCAACAGCAATATCGGATCCATTGTGCTAAACAACCCATTATTAATGGTATCATCGTAATTTGGAACATCGGGTAGCTTGTCATTCTTTATTGATGGAACACTGAGCAGAACTTCCTCTGAAAAATGATGGGACTGTGACAATTCAACGAAATAGAACGAAAAAATCATCCGCCCTCACTCTTACCTGTACTCTTCTTTGTACCCAACACCGTGGAAGTCACAGCATCTACGAGTTCTGACTGAACAACACAGAAGACTATTTGTTCCGAAAACGCGGCATCAGGGTGGATAGAGCTATGAATAAATAATCGTTAGAAAACACCAATATCACGAATACATTTCCAGAAACATCAACCAACCCATTTGGCCTGCCATCGATACTCGGCACTCGGTCATCGAAATCATCTCCAGGTGTTCCATGTACTCCATGAGAACCGGGCTGTTTATCTGGTTGCCAAGTCAGCAAGCTAGAAATTGCATCTCCATCAGTATATTCATGAAATCGCCACCAAGTCATTAAACCTACGATTTTGGAAGTGTGGCTGCAAAGAGACGGCGCAGAAGTTGAACGGTGCGTTCCCACATCTCATTCGTGAAGCGCGCACCATTGAGCAGTATTAAAGTCTCAAGACAATTAACCGTTGACCGCGCCAATTGTTCGTTCTCTGAAACATCAACTTTGAAGCGATGTTCGAGATGAACAGAGAGCCCATTAGAAATCAAGATAGAGGTGGTCAGTGATACAGCGATGAAGAAAAAAAGAAACGGCTTATTACTTGAAAATGCGACCCCCTTTTGCTCGTCGATTTGCGCGCTAAACGTATCTCATCGGCCGACCTCATCAACGCTAACGTTCTCTCTGCTAGACGAACAGAGAAAGACGAAGAGGGTGTGAGCGGGCTGCGGCGATAGCGGCGCGAGTACGGCCCCTGGGGGCATACCCTTCATTGCGGAAACCGCATCGTTCCCCACCCTTAGAAGACCCGCTCACCTTTCTACTAGATATGTTTCCCCTTCTTCGTTTACTAACCTCATGGAATCCTGCTTTGACGGAGT